TTTCTTTCTTTCTTTCTTTCTTTCTTTCTTTCTTTCTTTCTTTCTTTTGAGACAGGGTTTCTCCATGTAGCCTTGGTTGTCTTGGACTTGCTTTGTAGACTAGGCTGGCCTCAAACTCACAAAGATCTGCCTGCCTTTGCCCCGCAGAGTGCTGAGATTAAAGGCATGTCCCACCACACCTGGCTAGAGATTTTTATACCTAGCAATAGTGTCTTTTTTTTTTAAAATCATTTCTCAGACCAAAAATACTGGAGCTATGATTGACTCCTTCTGTCCTTGCAAACCTACATCCTACTCAGCCAATCCTGTTGCTTCTATTTTGGAACCATTTCCATGGTCTTATCATTTATAAATTTGCTACTCTATTACTACTTTACAGGTTAATGGTCCCTATGCTTCCATCGTTGTTTCCAAAGGCAGGCTGAGCCTTTCACTTGTAGCACTAGGTGACTCAGTGACCTTGAATGGTTTGAAACTGAAATGTGAGCTGGTAAAATGGGCCAACCTGTCCAGTTCTCTGCTGTCCAGTTTGATGACCTGAGTTCAACTCTTTAGACACAAGTGGGAGAAAGAGAGGGAGAGAGAGAGAGACAGACAGACAGACAGAGAGAAAGGACTCCTTAAAGTTGCCCTTTGACCTCCACTTATATGCTGTGGTATATATTCACTCTCTCTCTCTCACACACACACAGATGCACACAAAATGAATAAGCAAAATTTCAACAAAAATTTTTTAATGAAATGTGTAGTCTAAAAAAGTCCACCTGTCCTACAGAGCTGCAGAGACCTGCTCTCCTGTTGCCCTTATTCTCTTTCCATCCTCTAGTCTCACTGCTTGTCTATCTTTCTGACCTTAAAATAGGAGAAGGAGTTTTTCCGTTTCAGCTTTTGTATCTAGTATTTTTCTCTGACTGGAAAATGATGGTCCCATGGAAATTCTGTTATGATCCATTATGTGACAAATCCCTGTTTAGGTAATATACATCCTCTTGGAAAGGGGAAGCAGGAAGAACCTCTGTATTTTGAGGTTATCACTTGGGATGTAGTATTAGCACATATGAGACAGGCTGCAAACATCCTATCAGCTATAAAATCCTATCACTTTGGCAGCCCCCTAGAGCAAGCAGTAATAACAAACTTTTTGAGTAATCAGTTATCATGCCTTAGGAATTGTGCTCACACCTAGCAGATAGCAACACATCTGATCAGAGCAAGCTGTGATGTACTTAATCTTATTCACATCTATCTAGTTCAGAGAGGTGAGTTAACAGCACTCTAACAACCTGGGTTAACCAAGGGCTGGGTTTGAACTGATACCTCCAGAGAGGAGAAGCAGACTGAAGCTGAGACTTAAAGATCTTGGCAAGATTTCATTAAAGCTCAGAAGCAGAGGTAGTCCACTCATTGCTGAGCATTGGGTGAACAGAAAGAGGAGAGAGGGAAAAAGAAAGAGAAGGGAAAGAGAGGGGGAGAGAGGTGGAGGGAGAGAGAAAAAGAGGCAGAGAGAAGGAAAGAGGGGAGAGGAAGAGAGGAGGGAGAAAGAAGGAAGAAGGAAGGAGAGAGAGACAGAGAGAGAAGAGACTTTACTCCCCCCCCCAGCATTATGCAGCAAAAGTGTCCCGTGTACAGGTGACAGGAGCTGCTGGCCAGGAATGTCCCCAAGCTGTTGTTTGTGCACATGCAGAGGCTAAATTGCTGGCTTCTCTGGGAGAGGGAGGCTCTGGTCCATCAGCTCCCCGGAGTCTGGAAGTAAACAGCTGGAGTGCCTGTTGACATCCTTAAAGCCTTATTAGTCCAGTCACCCCGTGAAACTTGGAAGCAGGAGTAGGGGGTGGAAAAGGAAGCAGATAAAAGGCAAGTGAAAGAAAGGAGGAGGGGCAGGCTCTGACCTAGCTAGCACTGTGCTCTCTTCCTGCCTAGCTTGGGCTGGCTTCCAGAAACCCCATGGCCAACTATGAATTTAGCCAGATATCTGGGGACAGACCTTGCTGCCGCCTCTCTAGGCACGTCCAGATCTGTCTCGGAGTGGGTCTCCTGGTCCTGATCGCTTTGGTGGTGATCCTGGTCATAGTTCTGTGGCCTCGCTCACTCCTGGTGTGGAATGGGAGTCCTACCACGAAGCACTTTCCTGAGATCTTCCTGGGACGCTGTCTCGTCTATACTCAAATCCTCCGGCCTGAGATGAGGTGAGTTTGCACCTGAGGCACACGCTGGGCACAGTGCAAAGTGCCACCGGGACACCCGGGAGACCCAGCTGGAGTTCTCATGGGGGTGGGGGGGGGGAGCGTCCTGATCGTCCCAAACAAAGAATCTTGTGTTGCAGATCAGCTGGGAGCGAAGGGGCAGTGCTGAGTAGGATTCCAACGAGGGGAAGGGCCCCCCCCTGTGCAAGTTACCAGAACACTGCCCCGCACCACCACCTTCGGGGGCGCTGACCCTTGCTGAGCGCTGCAAAGGTGCTCAGCTTGAGAAGAAGCCTTGGGGCTATCTTTGGCCACAGTCGTGCTGCAGGGACAGAGAATGACTCACAGGCTCATGCACTTCACGTTGACATTTGGCTTGTGGTTTTGATCAGCCACCGTTCCTGTCCAGAGAGTTATGGTCACAGGCGACACTTATCTAAAGGGGGGGGGGGGGGCTGGCTGAGCATGCTGTGCCGGTGGAGGGAGTCAGAAAGGGCAAGTGTCTGCCTGGAGTTTTATTTATCTTTGTAGAGCAGCATCCTGGAGTAGCAGTTCATGCCTGTAACTCCAGCACTAAGGAGACTGGTACAGGAGGGTTGCTGTGCGTTCAGGGTTAGCCAGGGCTGCACAGCTACATTGTAAACTCCAGGACAAGCTCGGGTTACAAAGGGAGACCAGGCTCGAAATAAGTACATTAATTAATAAATTAATACACAAAGCAAGCAAGCAAACAAAAGCCCAAACAGCATCTTGATTCTTTTTGCACCTGATCTTTAATATAAAACAAGACAGACTATAAAAACTGAAATATCACTGGTCGGGTAAGCTGAGTCAGCTTGATGGACATGTGTAGATCCTCGGCAACAACATCTTTCTCGGTCCATAGAACCAGCCCTTAGAACCAGCTCTCACATCCCCTTCCACTCACTCCCTGTCTCAGAGGGAAGGGCGTTGTTTTAATGTAGCACTTATGTTTGAAGTCAAACAGAAGGCACAGCCGGCTAAGAAGGAAGGCATGCCCAGAAGCCCCGCTCCACATTCTGTTTTCACATGCACAAACTCCCCAGGTTCTCACATGCTCAGTGGGTTTGGTCTTGGTCTTACTTGAAAATGCTCATGTAGAAAGACTCTCAGGGTCCCGATAAATATTTTATTTACAGATTTTTAGAGATGATATTGGCTGTTGAATCACTTTGAGTAAATTCACTGTCTTAGCAAAGCGGGCGCATGGCATTGACATGATGTGCTTAGCACTGACCCTGTAGCATGTGGACGTTGAGTACTTTTCAACCTATCCATTCGTGTGTATGCGTTCAGCAAGTATTAATGATGATTTCTGTTTGCTAAATCATAGTGAGCTAAAAATAACAGGATTAATAAAATATGCATTTACTGTGTGTGTGTCCATGTGTGTATGCATGTATACAGTAAGAGTGCAGAAGTCATGGGGTCAGTTCTCTGAGTCCACTGCATACGTTCTGAAAATCAAACCCAGGCCATTAGGTTTGGAAGCAAACATACCTACCTATTGGTCCACCCCAATGACCTAACCTTGTAATAGTGTGATAAGCATCTTTTCAGACATCTCACAACAAACACACACACACACACACACACACACACACAGAGAGAGAGAGAGAGGTTTTATATGACTAGATTAGAGATGTAGTCCTCTGACAACCATGTCAGAGCTGAGATACAGCTCAGTGGTAGAGTTCATACCCAGCTTACTCAGTGCCCCGGTTCATCCCCATCACAAGGAAAGGAATGAATGGAACAGAATAGAGTAGGACAGAAGACAACCACACAAAGATAGTTACTATTGATTGCTCTGTTTTATAGATGAATAAACTGAGTCAGGAAGTTTGAGTAAACTGTCCACATGTTCGTACAGATTGAACTCCTAGCCAACAGACTAACTGCCTATGCATGCTTTGTAGGCAGAGTGGGTGTGAAGTTTATAGGTCGTGTATGGAGACCTTTGAAACAGAAAGGAAATAGTAACTATCATCAAAATGAGTCAATAAGTTTAACCTGAAGACAAAGCACCTTATCCTCCCAAGATTGGAGCATGTGAACTCTGAAGCCAGATCATTTGAGCTTGAATCTTATCTCTGTTGCAGTATGACCTTGGACTAGGTCCTCAGTGTATCTGTGCTGTGGTGTGCTCTCACCATGTCAGATGGAAACATTAACGACAGCACCCAGCACCTAGAGAAATGAAGAGGACTGAGAGGAATAATCCTGTCAGGGTAAATGCTTGAAATGTCACTGCTGTGTAAATGTAGTGTTGCGGATATCCCTCTCCCCACAAAAATACAGATTAAGTACCATCATTCATGTATTAGAGCATAGTCCCATAATTCAGTCCTCCAATGCTGAAAGTTACATTGTTTCGTTAACCTAACACTTGGTGGTAGGGGTCTTTCATATTGGGCCAAATCTACCTCATTCTTTATAGGGCAGATGTAACCAGCTCCAGTTGACAAAAAAATTTAATTTCCAAATTTTAATTATGTATCTCTATTACATCGGGCAGTGTGATGGGCTCGTGTGCCACAGGGCATGAGCAGAGCTCAAAGAACAATTTTGAGGGGCTCAGTTCTTTCTTCCACTGTATAGGTTCTAGGAATCAAACATGTCTTCAAGCTTGGCAGCAACCACCTTTATTTAGTGAGCTATCTTTCTGGCCCATTTTCTAATTTTTCAAATCCATTCGTTTATTCATTCATTCTTCAATACATATTTTTGGTCTCCTACTATGTTCCAGGCAGTGGTCTGGCTACTGGTGACACAGGAATGATGGTTCCAATTCATGCACAGCTCTCTGTCTGCAATGAGCTTCTTCATCTTATACCTTCATGTGCATACTGGAGAGTTCTGTATGACAGACTCCCGGTGATGGAATTTATGGGTAAAATGGGAGATTGTGCATGTCATAGTTAGGTTTTTTTCTTTGAAGAGACAGCATACCCACAGCATAACAACAGCTCTTGTAAAAGAAAATATTTAATTGGGGCTGGTTTACAGATCAGGGGTTTATCATCATGACAACATGCAGGCAAACATGGTGTTAGAAAAGTAGCTGAGAGTTCTACATCTGGATTGCCAGGCAGCAGGGAGAGAGAGAGACATTTGGCCTGGCTTGAGCATCTGAAACCACAAAGCCCACCCCCAGTGGCACACTTCCTCCAACCAAGCCACACCTACTACAACAAGGCCACACCTCCTAAAGGTGGCACTTCCTATGGACCAATGGAGGCCATTTCATTCAAAACACCACAGTGCATATTGTTTTAGTGGCTTTTGAATTTCACATGTTTCCAAACCTTTTCTGAAATAGTTTTATTATTTCACACTCCCACCTCAGTCTACAGGGCCTACTTCATGATCTGACCATTACTGAATGTCTTCAACTATTTTTTATGAGTCCTTTCATTAACATTACATTGCTTTTTTTTTCTTTTTTTTTTTTTTTTAGGATGTGACATTGATAATTTGAATTTATTTATTTATTTTTTTATGAAATGCTTATTTCAAAAGCAGAATTTATTTTATTTTATTTTATTTTTTAATTACACTTTATTTACTTTGTATCCCCCCTCTAGTTCCCTTCCTCCTCCCCTCCCAATCCTTCCCTTCCTCCTCCTTCTCCACACACTCCCCTCCCCAAGTCCACTGGTAGGGGAAGATTTCTTTTTCTTCCTTCTGATCCTACTCTCTTAGGTCTCATCAGGACTGGCTGCATTGTCTTCCTCTGTGGCCTGGTAAGGCTGTTCCCCACTGAGGGGAAGGTGATCAAAGAGCAGGCCAATCAGTTCATGTCAGAAGCAGTCCCTGTTCCCATTACTATGGAACCCACTTGGACACTGAACTGCCATGGGCTACATCTGTGCAGGGGTTCTAGGTTATCTCTATGCATGGTACTTGGTTGGAGTATGAGTCTCAAGAAAGACCCCTGTGCTCAAATTTTTTGGTTCTGTTGCTCTCCTTGTGGACCTCCTGTCCTCTCCAGCTCTTACTATTATTTCCCACTTCTTTCATAAGATTCCCTGCATTCTGCCCAAAGTTTGGCCATAAGTCTCAACATCTGCTTTGATAGTCTGCAGGGCAGAGCCTTTCAGAGACCCTCTGTGGGAGGCTCCTAACTTGTTTCCTGTTTTCTTCTTCTTCTGGTGTCTTTGCCTTTCGGAGTGGGGGTCTTCAACTATTTTAAATTATGAGAATGATAGAAAAAAATAGCATATATCTGTTCCCTGTTTTCTAACAGTCTTAGCTCTTGTCTGTTTTTTGTCCAGATATTTACCCTTTCTGTTGAGTTACTTACATATGTGTTTGGGGGTTCTTTGTGTTCTAGTTAATATTAACACACATACACAAAATGCCTGTTAGACACATTGCTGAGACCTCTGCCTTGAGTTTTATTATTATCCTGGGGCTACTTTTTATTCTGATACCCTTAGCAAGACATACTGGGAATGGCAGTTTTGTTTTCAAACCTAGCAGATTGGAAATGTTTACTTTCTATTTTGCACTAATAATCAATAATTCTTTCCTTTCTGAGTCTGCACTTTTTCCTGCACAGCTAAAAAGAAAAAAAAATTGGACTTTCAGCTTCTACTCTAAGGCTTTTGAACCAAAGTCTTGGGTTCCGAGGGGGTGTTCTGCGTTTTTGCTGTTGACAGAGTTACAACATCTTATATCACTTCTGCAAGGGGCTGCCTTCCTTTTAGCCTCCAATAACCACTTCCTGTGTGTCCATCAAGAAAACGTGAACAGGCAGGCACTCCTTGAGACCTTTCTTCTTTTACCTGACATCCAATGTCAGTACTGATGTCACAGGGTCTCTAGACAAATAAAAATAATGAGGGTGGGGGTGGGGTTGGAACATACAGTTGTGGAGGCTGGCAATGCAAAAAACAAACAAACAAACAAACAAACAAAAAACCTGCAGACCAAGCCGACAGGTTGGAAGCTCTAAATTTGCCAGTGTTGCAGCTTTA